TGTATTTATTGTCAGTGACATCAAAAACAGCTTTAACATGCTTTTACTAAACTTGGGATGTTTATTAGTTCTCTGTCAAAGGCATTAAAATATTTTAAATCTTGTAATTACTTCTCTGTCTGTTTTTCTCTCTGTCTCTATTTTCTCTTCACTTTAAAAAAAAGTCACTGATGATGAAGAAATAAGTAAACTAAACTAATATTTAGTTTTGTTTTCTACTGAAGTGACACAAAAAATATTTTAAATCAGCTGATTTCTGCAGAAATCCTCTTAAAAGTAATCCACACTTTTTTTCACCGAAAAAGTCTTTATCCTAATAAATTAAGGATTTTTAACTTTCAGTGAATTTCAGTAATGAAACTTCTAAGATTTGATTAATTTTAACATGAATTCATCAACAAGTAACACTTAATCTTCTGTTTTCTTTCCTGCAGCTTGTTAAAGTTACATGTTCTGGATCCCACCTGCTGTTCTGTTGTGAAGCTGAATGTTTGTGATGTTTGTTGTTCTGCAGAAAGACATTGGCTCGAGGTTGATGCCAGCCTTCAACACACAGTCAAAGGTTCCCTACTCTGATGTCAACATCGGTAAAGGCACTGCCCACCCTCCACGCTGGACCTCAGACAGCACTGTTGCTGAAGTTACCAGTATTCAGCTGGAGTTCAGGGAGCTCAGTCGCCTCACCCACGACCCTCAGTACCAGGTGATTTAACCCATATGCTTGTTTTAACAGCTGCTGTCCAGTTCACATTTATTATGACAAAAACTTTTATCTCTTGTTGGCCAATAATAATCTCCTTTATTGATGAAATAAAAGATTTCACATTTTTTGACATAGTTAATCAGGTAAATCAGGTTTGTTTGTTTTTTTTTTTTACCAAAATGCATGATTTAAATGTACTGAAATTAAAACATTAATGCAACAAACTGTGATGGACTTGCAACCTGTCCAGGGTTTACCCTGCCCCTCGCACTGTGACTGCTGGATATGGGCACCAGTGACCCCCGTGATTCTGAAAGGAATAAGCGTGTACAGAAAATGGATGGATGGATGGATGGATGGATGGATGGATGGATGGATGGATGGATGGATGGAAAAGATGTCATGATTTACAAAAACAGGTTAAGTAGAGCAGGCGTCACCAACCTTTTTGAGACCGAGAGCTACTTCGGGGGTACTGAGTAACATGAAGGGCTACTTGTTTGATACAAACATAAATTTGCACCCCTCACCTTTAATTATAGTATTAATAATAAATTTATACATGTGAATGTTTGACTCCCTGATTACATCTTAATGTTAAAGACTCCTCATGATAATCATAGTTTACTGTGGTAGATATTAATAATAATAATTTAACATAATAATTCATTTAAACTTTGTGCAGC